AAGTCTTAAGAGGTCTTATTTAAAGTGTTAGGACGTATTTAAGTGTTTTCATACTTACCTAAATAATTTTTAAACGGTCCATTATTTTTGTTATTTTATTGTCGAACAAATTAAAACTAATCCTTAAGAAGTTATGTACAAAAGATGGTTACAATCCGCTTACCCGTTTCAGAGATCCAGCAAACCCACAAACGTTACTCCAGCAGGATTTCGAATAACTTCGCAACCGAAGAAAATACAAATACCAAATAAGTTGTAACATTTACCTAGTCCAGATAACTAATTATTTAGCTAAAATTTATTTCAATATTACAATTAAAAAAGAAAATGTCTGGCTGCGGTAACGTTTCAAACGTTACTCCAGCAGGAAATGTTTTTTTGAAATTACTAAAAAAGTTTAAGTGAAACAAATTTAAAAATGTGCTTAACAATTACAGAAGGGGAGCAACTAATTATCTATAAAGTTTAAATGACCATTTTCGACATTATTTTGCTGGGGTAACGCACACTTATTAGTCATTTAATGTACATACCGGTCGAAGAGGTGGAGGAAGCCAAAAGCCGACACTGAATTTACCAAACTTCTGCTTCGAAAAATCTTATGAGACTGAAAAGCAAAACGTTTTCAGACAACAGAAGAAAATTTCGATAACCTTATTAATTACTGGGCAAAAAATATAAAGGTGACCATAGCAGCTACCTCTTAAATCCATTATTTACCTGTCTACCACATCGCTTAGTTTTGATACAACTATTAAACTCAATAATACGGAACATGAAGATAGTAATCCTGAAGATCCTGATCAGGATAATCGGATAAATTTATTTAATTATTGTATTGGCATCGGTCCATGATAAGTGTAATCATCATCAGCCTATCGCAGTCCACTGCTAGACATAGGCCTCTCCCATTGCACGCCATCTTGCGCAAATCGTCACTCCACCTGGCCTGTGGGCGTCCTACACTACGTTTGCCGAGACGCGGTCTCCACTCAAGAACTCATTTTCCCCAACGGTTGTTGGTTCTGCGGCTAATATGGACAGCCCACTGCCACTTCAGCTTGCTGATCCGGTAGGCTATGTCGGTGACCTTGGTTCTCTGCGAGATCACCTTATTCCTGATGCGATCCCTTAGAGAAACGCCGAGCATAGCTCTTTCCATAGCACGTTAAGCGACTTTGAACTAGTGGACCAGCCGTACCGTAAGTGTCCACGTTTCGGCTCCGTATGTCATGACGGGTAGGACGCACTCATTGAAGAGTTTCGTCTTAAGACACTGTGGGATCGACGATGAGAAGACTTGACGTATCTTCCCAAACGCTGCTCAACCCAATTAAATTGTTCTGTTCACCTCGTCCTCGAAGTTGTTGATAATAAGTGTGCTTAGTTTCAGTTCAATCCGACGTGGGTGAAAATCACGTTCAAATATTCCGTATTCCGACATAGATACAGGACCAAGCTAATAAAAGCATGTTAAAATAAACAAATAAAAACAAAATTTATTCTCAGTAACTATATTTATTTAAGAGTGAACAATGTTTGTTTAACTAATGAATTTAGTCATAGACAGAACTACTAAGCATTTCAGTGAGCCTTCTTGGTTTATCAAGAATTCAACTTACCACACAGTGTCATTTACATCGTGTCATGTCATCTACACAATTAATTGTTTAAATAAGTGTACATATAAGTATTTAATACAGGCTTAAACTTTAAGACGGATGGATATCAATAACAGTTTCTTATAATTATCACAGTCCTTAAGATATTACATTAATATAACATTATTGATAAATAACATTATTCAACCAAAATAACTAATTAATAAATTGGCCAATGCTTGACTGAACACGTACCTACCTATATTATTAAATTCCGTGTCAAGTACATATACATAACTCCTATTTAGGGGAAAAAGACACTCTTTATTAACCCATAATTAGCTAATTATCATAACCCTCAGCTAATTATGTATTGTAAAATTAAATTAACTATCAACATTTAGTACACCACAAATTACAAAGATCTTAATAAATTTGTTGGAGTGAAAATAAAGAAAATGCCTATATTAGATTTGAATATCCCCTTCTATAATGTATGACAGTTGCTTGTTCTTTTTATGAGCACACTCGGCGTGTGTTTGTGGACTGTCCAACTCGAAATCTTACTACTTAGTGGTCGGTGCTGATTGTTATCGAGATTTGGGGCAATACAACTGTGTGACCCCTGCTTAAACACGCATGAGAGAAGATTATATTGGTAGCCGCTGTCATTTATTTCAAATATAGGTCAAACTCTGAACGTGTGCAATTGAATACCGAATTAAAATTAGCCCTCAACTAGACGTCACTCATAAAGCTTGATTTACTTATAGTCTATTCGCGTTAGGAAAATAGCGAAGCATTGATCAAGCCCTGCCAACTCTGATCAATCAGGTTACAAGCTTTGGTGCGAAACGATAATTACTTAGAATATGATTGGTATTTTCTTAACGCAAATAGACTAGGAATACTGAACAATTAATAACTAATAAAGTCACTGATGTAAAGAGTGCATAAAACAGGATAACTCAAAGACCAAAAAATCGTAAAAACAGAAGTGAAATCAAGAAACACTTGGATGTTAGTCATATCACATGATAGTTCATATGATGCCCACAAATTATTATGTAATTGAGCACTATAATAGGCGATCAAATTATATCAGAAATAATTTTATAATTAGTTGGCAAGTACCAGTTTTATATGTCATACCTGCCTGAGACGTAGCCTCAGAGCGGAGAGTCAGTGATCATCTGATCATTTGGTGCAGTGGTCGACCAAAGCTGCTGGGAGCCGAATATTAAAGAATAGTTGTAACCTGCACAATATCGTTTTTTAATCATTATAAGAATATCTCGATTTCTGCAATTAACCGAATGCACTTTGATTATTAAGGTAAATTGAAAATTTTAAACAAGATTATCTTATAAGTCCCTTTGTCTATGTACTAAATCAAAACAATAATAACAGCGAATGACGTCATTCACAAGTCGTTTGGACGTGTTTATCAGTTTAATAATTTAATATTACATCCTAAAATTTGCTTTAGGAACAATATCCATACATGGCCTTTTGCAATATTTGAATTATTAACAGTAATATGATAAAATGTTCTCTGTTATTTTTATTCAAATGTTTGTAGTTTTTTTTTAATAATTAAATACCACTAATTACGGCATTGCTGTTTTAATTTAATAATTTTTAAACACTAGAGAGGAGGGTAGTCTCACAAACGGGACTAACGTGTAATGTAATTTATGGAATTACCCTTATACAAGTAATCTTCATAAAAGTAAACCTCACGCTCAAAGAACATGACCTTGCATCTTTTTGTATAGTCGACACGGTATTTTAATTCTAATCTATTTTTTTTTTTAATAAAACTTCTTGCATCAAATGATACTCATATTTTTGTACCGGTACCAAACTTCTAAAAAAATACAAAAGAGATATTGCAAGTAATCCCCTACTAGCTGGTATTATTTTCTGCAGCGTGTGACGACAACGATTAGAACCTTATTTGGCTAAAATATTATAATCGTTTCTAGCCTAGCACTAGACACACCACACTACTAGTATTATTTACCCTTAATTCCTGTTAAAACCGCGTCTCTATACATATCATATTTATTCTACCTTCTTTTAAGTGGGGTATAAATAAAAGCTCAAAAGACAACTTTGCATTTTAAAATAAAAGCAAGACTGATTATTACTCATCGCCGAAGCTTGTCGAAAAATGGAATAGGTACCTACCTAATCTGATGTGAAGGTTAATTTAAATTCGTGTAATTATTTTAAACCCGGTGGTTTGCTGAAAAGGTCGATGACCGATGTTATATTAGTTTGATTTGATTTATTAAAACGTGAATTAATAAAGAAAACGTGGAAAGAAAAATAACTTAAATTATAAATATTGACAGTTCAGCTACACGATAGTGTGGGCTAAACTTGTCTTTTAATAAAGGGCAAACTATTCTAAGGCCCTTCGTGCTAGCAGAAAAACACGTTTTTATAAAGGAATTATATACATTAACAGTTGCTTGTTTGTCACTGTAATGGTGAGAAATACAAGTACCGTTACTCACATCCCACTCTTAAATAATTGCTAATTTATATTAGACGCATGGTGTCCTTAGACAATAATATTTATACAGTACATTCTCAACATTTTCAAAGTCGAATCCCAATTTTAAATATATATTAAAGCTGGGGCAGACAACGGACGAAAGCGGGTATGTGACGATGATGGCCTTCGCTCTCGGCGCTAGAGCGATAAGCGAAGGCCCACATCGAACGCCACCGAGTTAATATCTCGCCCCGACCCTTTTCTGCCCCATACATTAATGTTGTGTAAACAAAGTATATATATTTATATAAAATATATCTATATATATATTATTTCTCTCCGTGCCTACGGAGAAATATTATATATATAAACTAACTATGGTCAAATGTTTAGTTGAACCAAAAAGTTATTCTCTTAAGCAATTGTATTTTAAGTTACTTTTTTATTATAAGATCACGCCACATCTCATTAGCATTCATCGACTGGATTTTTTTGGAGTTTTCAATGTCAGAAGGAACCAGCCAATCCTGAAATACAAAAATAACAATAAATCTTGTTAAATTAAGTATATAAAGTACAAGATACGACAGGCCATGTATTAAAACATTGCATGAAATAACCTCTTTTGGTCTTGGATACACATGTGTTATTTGTTTACTAAGGACACAAGTGTGTTAATTGTAAAGCTATTCGACAAACTTTTTGCTAAAAGTGCAAACCAAAGGATTTTTCTTATTTAAATGCCTAAACTTATCAAATATCATCAATGCTCGTATTTACGATACTTTAAAACATATGGTTTTAATGAGTTTGTCAATATAAGTCAAGTATTACGTCAGACATGTTCTACATACTGACCATAAGAAAATAAGGAGGAAACCGAGGCACGGTCATCATGGCAACCAACGGCGGGGCACGAGCTTGTACCCGGCGTAGATAAGGGCGCCTACACATGCTACGCGGATAGAGACTCTGATCACCCGTGTGGATAGAGACGGAGGCGGGATCCTGCAAACAAAAAGTATTTATATACCAAATATTATTTTTAATAAAGATTTTGAAACAAACAGAGCAATACTATATTACCCAAGTAACAAATATGAAAATGCATTTATAATACTTCTCTTTAGTTGAGAAATACACGGCCAATAACTGATGCAAATGAGTCGAAAAAAGTTGTCTATTGTTGTCATTGTTCCGAGGGACTAGTATGAAGACTTCAGTGCGAGCCAATCGCAACGCTAAACGCGATTTCCGTGACTATCGAGTAAAAGTGAAATAAACTCTCACTAGGCCCTTTGGACTTGAATTAACAACGGTACTTATTAACTCTAGGGGTTCGAAAGTATCTAAACAATAATGTCATTCAATGTTATTTGTAAAACATACAATAAAAACTTACTGTAATAATGGTGGGATATCATTTGGAGTTATTTTACCCCAATGTTCCACAATACCCGCCACGTGGCCGATGCCGACAACACCCACGATGCGACAAGGCTCTCGACCTGCCAAAAGTAATTTGAAATTCAAAAAACAATTTGTATTTTTTTCTCTTTTTCACATGAACTAATACTCACGTGGTTGCGAAGCTGCGACTTGCAAGGAATGACAGAGATACATATCTCTTTCTACAACAAACACTCGTTTCAGGGCAGGGAATTCTTCAGCCATTTCCTCTAACATATCCTCTAACATTTTTTTTTGTTTACATTTTTCCACTTCTTCCAGACTAAAATTAAGAAAAAAACAGTTTCAGTGTTTTAAATAAGTGTAAAGATTATATGTGCTCAGTGGAATGTGAAACTTAAAGATAATATTTTTAAACAACATGTGTTATGAATTTAAACAATAATTGAAAACAGCTACAAAAGCTGTATGCTTTTGTAGCTGTTTTCAATTATTGTTTCAAATCTATCATATCAAATCTATCATACTACGGAAATCAGTGGTGGAATGTGTGACAAAAGACAGAAAACTCGGCAAAATGGTATCTAAATGATAATAATGACACCGCCTGCTTAAATAATATTACTTTATTGAAAGCCTTGTTTCATGTCACAATAATTAAACGATAAATAACAGATGCTCCACGATCATTGCATCGTGTTTTGTCATGAATGCTTTCAACTAACCTTATTGTCTGATTTGACGTAAGAAGGTGCCATATAAATTTGATTGTTTGTCCCCACGATAAGGATGCTATAGCTCTGTGCAATGTCACATCAATTGCACGGTCGCCCAACTGAACGATACAATTTGGTATTTTTTTTGCCTGAAAACAATATTTTCTCATAGATTAATATAACAGCAATAACTTTTGTAGTACAATATTAGGAAGACAAAGGCATTTTTTTAATCAGTTGTTGGCAGTAAATAGAACTGCCAACAACTGATTTAAAAAAAAATCATAGCCTTTCTTAATAATAAATTCTCGAAACAATGAAGTATCTTATACCTCTGCCATTGCTCGTCGGAACTCTCCACCCGGAGCCATTCCTAATTCCCGAGTGATGTGGGCAGACATATTCAAAAGGAGAATATACATCAAACCATTGAACACTCCATTTTGAGCCATCGTTGCTCTGAAAAAAATACAAAAGTTATTTTGATGAAATATAAAAATATCTAGTAGTTATAACAACTTACTAAACTTATGTTACTGGCATGGTAACCTGATACAGATCACAGTCCCATAAGCTTTTGTGATATTTCAAGTAATGGTAAATAATAAGTAAACTTGTCTGCAGAATATCCCTTAATGATAAGTATCACATGCCCCACAGTAGACTTGGAAAATATTGCTTTTAAATCATATTTATTTGATGAAATGATTAGTTGTAATGACAGCGATTTCACATGTGATTGTAATGCCGTCATAGACAAAAATAATGAGCATTAAAATCAAATAAATTAATTTTATCGAAGATTACGACCCTTTTTTAGATTTAGAACTTTCGCAAGTATTGCGCTAGCGTTATAATAATAGTTAAGTCGCAGTGGTGTTGTAAATCAGTCACAGGTATTATAATATGATTTATCACAGGTGATTGTGATTTTATTCCATCCCTACTCAACAGTAAATATGAACTCTCTGATAAGTTTTCTATAACAGTTTTGATTACTGTTTCTTTTAGTACGTGCCTCCCCGAAAGTAAGTGCCATTTTAACTTAATCTTACTCAATTACTGCATAAAATCCTAGTTAGAAAAAATAACATTGCACTCTCAACTCATTTATACAAATTTTTTATCACATTCTTTCTATTTTTGGATCTGGTATAAGAAGGTAAATAACAGGATATTTACCTGATCTTTTTAATATTTATGTTCTTGGCTTCCCTAAGTATGACTTCTTCATCTAATAGTAGAATATTGGTCCTTTGCTCACATAACTCCACCATTACAATATGGGGGTTTACTTCTTGTATTACCTGTAAGTAAAACAAAGGTAATCGAATTACTGTATGCACATGGCTGCTAATGACTTTTATGGGAAGTTTAGATGATATCCTTTATATTTTTTCCCTAATATTTTTTTGTTGCACCCAAGTCCTATAGGAATGCCTTTTTAGAAATTTGCTCTGTTATACTTACACTTCATTTATTTCACTTATTATTGTTATTAATATCGTACATATTATGCAGGGATACAAGAAAACTATTAATAGAAAAACATTTTTTTATCAAGTCAGGTAAAGAAATGCTTTTCTATTAAAACTATCTAACTGAAACTCAAATATCTTTATTTCATAAAAAAATTAAAATTATTTGAAATTGTCTCTTGTGTAGACCGTTAAGTCATAGATCATCACACAATAGCAACAATCCCTGTTTTGTCAAATATTAAGCAAACTAAATATATATACGCATCGAAAATCTCTTATATGCCTCTGCCGATCTACAACCGCTCATTTCCAAGGGCCCATCTGAAGCTGTAAAGTAAAAAACTATCAAGATATGACTCACCCTGGATACATCTTCTTGGGACTTTATGCTGAAATGTGCAGTACCCACTAAATACACTTTTCCACCATCAGGAGTATCTAATACCGTCACGGTACTTGGAAGTCCTTCATCCATTGGCAATTCGGGAACAACTTGACATAAAAAAATAATCCTAGTTTAATAATATATATACGTACATATAATACATAGTAGTTTTATAAAATATCCTAGTCTGGTCTACTATCGATTTGGCAGTAGTTAGTGTAGAAAAAAGCCTGTTTTAGTGTACCTAATTCTGGCAATAAGTATTTCATATTACAGTAGAAATCGAATATAACGACATTGTTACGGTTATTACGACCGAATGGCAAGGTCCTGATCAAATGCCTATATAAACAATTAAGTAACATACCACCTATAGCAACATTGAATACAGTGACATATCGCTTAAAATGTCGAAACACAATCCGAACAATTTTCATACTTATTCTAATCTATGAGGTAATATTTTGACTGATTAATAGCTGTGCATTTTCTCCCACCCCATCCGAATCTCTTGCCAGCTCCTTGCATTTCACGACTTACATATTTAACGCAATAGTTGACAGTGTGAATGAATTATTTGAAATTTTATGTTAATGATATATAAGGCAATGAGACTGAAATGTAAAATGCAAAACACGTTTGAGATTCAGTTGAATAAAAAACAGACCAAAATGACTGATTAATTTTAAACTAAGTATAATGCACTGTAGGTACTGCATGTTTTTTTAGAATAACCTTTTTTTTACTTTTTATTTGAAACAGGTTCATAAGCATAACCTAAACCCATACTACATACTTATTTAAAAAATCTAAACATACATGACAATCTAATATGACTACTTGTGTAGCTTGCTTATAACAACTATCGGACATTACATCTAAAATTATATGGTCCCTTCAATGTCGATATATCCATTTTCGACTGTATATTCTTTATATTGATATTTTTAGTTCAAAAATTAAATGTAGCCTGGTAAATAAAGTGCACAGTGTCCTCCACTGAGTATTATGAGTATTCATTGTGTGAGCATTACAAGATTATGTTGTATCTATCTCATTCTCTTCAAATAATGGATAATCATATTTAAATAAAGTGCATTGTGACAAATTTGGTTCTCATTACTAGGTACTTTAACTTTCCTCACCATTCATATCACATTCAGGATTTGAATCACTCTGTTGGCCAGTTGATGAATCCTGTTTTTGATCTGTTGTTGAAGTAACAAATTTATTATTATCTGAAACAATTACAATTACTTACATTTTATTCCATTTACTTCTATCTCAACCCAGACAAAGCACAGCTTCTACAATAGGTTCTAGCATACACACAATATGCAAACGAAACAAAAAAAATTGATGTTGAATAAGAATTAAATATAACTCAACCCCCAGTATGGCAATCGAACATTCAAAGAGGGCGGCAAAAAGACGTAACATTACAGTTAGAGACATACAAAACAGTTACCCAGTGATCGCTGTCCGGTCCACGCGCCTTATCGCATTCCGATAAATACGCCGAATCGTAGCGAGTAATTTTTATTAAACAGTATTTTTAGTGTTTAAACGGGTTATAAGGGTGCTCCTGTGACCAGGGGCCCCCTAAACCGCGGGTTATGCCAAGGTTACCTCTAAAACCATTCATCCAAAGAAAGACCAAGTAATCGTAATTGATTCTATCGACGGAAATATGCTACGAGATTACTTATTATCACTTTCCACTATCATCAAACCATCTTCCATCCGTTTTATTTCACTCAAGAATATGTGTGTATTTGGACTCCAAACAATCTGCTGAAGAATTGATTGATATTCTCAACCAACTCAAAGTAAAAGATCATTTATTGGAAATTAGACAGTTAACAACTAGGAACAAACGAATAGTTTTATCGAATGTTTGCCCTGTCATTCCGCATGAAGCAATAGAAGAAATATTCAAACAAGTAAATGTAAAAATATCCCCTCTAAAATAAAAAAATAAGACAATATTTTTACATTTATTTGTTTGAATATTGTCTCCTTTTTTATGTTAGAGGGGGCAGACGAGCAGACATGTTAAAAAGAAAAAGAAAACTCGACAATAGGACTGAAGAACAAGTTTGGAATGACATTGAAATTGAAATAAGAGATTCCCAAGCTCACATTCCTCTAACATTAAATTAGTTCATAAGCTTTTTAGATACATCAGGACATAAGCAAAATATTCAAGAAATCATCAAGGACTACACAGATAATATTCCTGAGTTAATCAACATGTGTGTATTTCTTCACCCCAAAATGAATAACATTAAAAACAGATGTTTAAACTTTGCTAGAAAAGTACAAGACATTTATTCAAAGGAAGAGTCAACAAGTAACGACCTTAAATTTTCTTTTTTTTTATATTTATTTAGTATCCTTTTATTTCCCTCATACGTTAATTATTTTACATTTATTTAAACAAGTTAGATTCGTAATGAACATTTTGCAGTGGCATGTTAATGGTTTCCACGCCCGATTTAAAAGCATAAAAATAATACTTAATGATGTGGACCCATTATGGTTTTGTATACAAGTTACGATTTCAAAAATAACTATTGTGCTAACTTAAAAAATTACGACAGGTTTTATAAAGACCGCACACACAGCAGTATAGCTAGTGGTGGTGTAGCTACTTATGTGAAACCTCACACACTTCCTGAACTTATTAATATCAATAGCTCCTTAGAAGTAATAGCTGTAAAAATTAAATTCCCCCTGACTTTAACTATCTGTAACATATATTTAATAACAATAGCCATTCCATTAGTGAAAATGATTTGAATGACTTAGTTAACCAGCTTCCAAAGCCCTGCCCCATTTTTATTGGGGTTCGAATCACCGCGATCAGAGAGGTAAAATTATAGCTAATTGGTTAGATATACGTGACAATTTAATTCTTCTTAATTCACATCAACCTCCTCACTTCAATAGTAGTAATGGTCATACCAGTTGTATTGATTTAGCTCTTGCTTCACGAAGTATACCAACTCATTTCGCCTGGAATGCATTGGACGACCTCTACGACAGTGACCATTTTCCTATCACCATGACATCAAGAATTGATTTCTCTTACTATTCAAAATATTTACCAATATTGGAAATATCAATGTGCAGATTGGCCCAACTTCCGTTAAGAAATCGACCATAAGATTAAAGAGTTAGGTAAATTAAACCTGTCCTCTCATACATGTATAAATAAATATAATCAAATAATAATCGGCTCTTCGGAAAAATACGGCAAAATAAAACAACAGGAAAATTAAAAAAGAACTTGCTTCTTTTTTAATTTTCCTGTTGTTTTAGGTATGATGGAATGAAGAATGTTCTAAATCACTAAAAGAAACAAAAACAAAACCTACAGAGCATTTACAAGAAATCAGGACAGAAAAAACCAAGACAATCAATATATTAACGAAGAAAATCTATATAATCTAGAATTATTGCAGATAGAATATCGTAAAAATAGAGTGAGAACTAGAAGAATATTTAAAGAAAAATTGAAAGCAAACTGGGAAAAGTTTGTATCATCGATTAATAGTTATACTCCGATTAGAACCATATGGCAAAAAATTAATTCAATTAATGGACAAAGAAGGAAAAAGCAAACGATAATAAAAAAAATCAATGAGCTTTTAAGTCTTGATCCAAAAATAAGGTCTGATTTACTAGTAATAGCTTTTTAAGAGCAGGTCAATATTAACCCACTTAATGAAATGTGTACACACGAACTTCGTTTAATAATACACCTATAAGGCGATTCTAGTCCGGGCCCTGACAATATTTCAAATACCTTAATCCAAAATCTCTCTATCTTCGCTCTTGGACGACTCATAGATGTTTACAACTATATCTGGATTTGAGAAAGCCGTAAGTAACAGACTGAGATGGTAATTAGAACATAATCAACTAATATCCCTCTTACAATTCGGATTTCGGCAATTTAGATCAACTTTAAATAATTTAGCTCACTTAGAACATGATATACTCATACTCACATCCTTTGCAAATAAAAATAAAGCAGTAACAGTTTCCCTAGATTTGGAAAAGCCTATGAAAAAAACCAAAACCTAAAACCTAACCTAAAAACTAAAACCTCCTTTCTAAGGAGAGGCCTATGTCCAGCAGTGGACTAGTATAAGCTGTTGATGATGATCCTATGAAATAGTGTGGAAACATAGGGTTATTTTGATCTTGGAACAGTTCAATGTAAAAGATAACATGCTTGCCTTTATTATAAACTTTTTGACTAATAGATCCATAAGGGTTAAAATTGAATTGAATTAAATTCTATCTGATACGCTTCACACAGAAAATTGACTACCTCAGGGATCGGTTTTGAGTGATCCTGTTTTTGATAACTATAAATTATGTTTTAGCAGTTATAGAGAGGCCTGTGAAAGGTTGTTTGTTTTGCAGATAATTTGACAATATTGTTTAGCGGCAATACTCTTAAACCAACAAAGAGACTCTTACAATACACCTTGGATAATCATACCGGTTTTAATTTTTGCGGAAACAACTGAATTTATGATTATTTTGGGCATAAAAAGCAAAGATACAATATGTTTAACTATAAATAATCATAAAATCAGGGAAGTACAACATCTTAAAATATTAGGTCTAACATTTGATCAAAAAATGAACTGGGTTACTAACACTAAAATTTTTTTTTAACGTGTGGAAATCCCCTCGGACCGTCACCCCGCGGGGGTTCTTCATTCGGCGGGGCGGTGTGTCGGACTCGAACCGACTAAAACCACACGGTGTGCCCTCTTTGCCTATTAATAGTATTCTAGTTGAGGCAGACGAAATGCCACTCAAGTTAGAAGAAAAGGGTTATGTCTTACGTAAGCAGTGAACCACACGACTTATTTCAAGGATTCCTTTCTTCCAAAAACCACCTTACAATCTAATATCGAATACAACCTTCGTCCATCTCTTCCTCTTCCATTAAGATTAAGAGTTTAAAAGTATCTAAACGAAATTGAATTGAATGAATTTGAACTTCCTCCTAATTAGTCTCTTGAGCATCCTAAAAAACGGCCATGGGAAAAAATTGACATCGCAGTTAACTTAGACATAGCCAAAAAACAGCCCCGATGTAACACTCCTGATTACATTTATAAAAACCTGTTTAACCAAATTAAAGAGAGCTATCCAGACTATGTACATTATTATACCGATATTTTTAAAGGAAGATCAGGTTGTGCTATAGTTTCAGGAGATGAGAGCTACAAATACAGATTACCCGACTACTCATCTATCTTTACATGTGAAGCAGTTGCTATGATGAAATGTCTAGAAGTAATTAAGAACAAAATGAGCATCAATAAAAGAATCATATTTCTGATTCAATGTCAACTCTTAAGGCCTTATCTAATAACAGAGAACATACTTAGTCTAAACAATAATAATTTTGTCATAGAATTAATCTGGATTCCTAGCCATTAGGGTATTCCCAAAAACAAAAGGGTGGATATAGAAGCAAAAGAAGCCACAACACTTAATAACATAACATTACTTCTAATATTCAAGACCTTAATATTACTTTAATATGACCTTATTTAATACCTTAAACTGAAGGTAAAAATGCTATGGAATAGCTATTGGGTAAAAGATAATAATAATGCTTTGTATGAGATAAGGAAAACAGTTTTTGAAAAACGTAATAAGATAACAGAAAAGATCAAATAGTTTACAAACAACAACAAAGAATAGGTAACAGGACATTGTAATTTAACTCATATGCATCTTATTACTAAGGAAACTAAGAAGAAATGTTCAAGATGTGATAGGGACTTAACTATCAAGCACTTACTAATTGAATGTCACATGTATAATAAAGAAAGATTACAAGATATTAGTCTACCTAAGAATGTAAGATTGTTTGAACAATGTAGAAAGACTGTAACATTCTTAAAACGAATTAATCCATATAATTTAATTTAATATTTAAACCTAAAGAGGTCGCCTTAGATGTTTAAGCAACCTTAAATGAAGAAATAAAAAAAATAAAAAAGACAAAAAAATTACGACAAAATAATACAGTTTTAAAGAATTGTTTTTTTATGGAATACACACATATTATTATTTTAAATAGTCCACCATGGGTTATGGATACTTTAGTTGTAGTAATCTTACCTTGATTATCCTGAATCATAGTGGCAGTTGTATTCAATTGTGCATCACCACCTCCATCTTCAGCTTTTAGGAACACCTTGCATTCATTTATTATATCACATTTGACTCCTGATGTCTTTGCAGTTAATAACAACTGGTCGTCTTCTAATTCACGTGTCACTAATCTATCATTATGTAGCAGACGATCAGCAGCATCCATTTTATTATTAAATTACTGCAGATTCAATAACACTTGATTCTTTCAAGTGTAACAGCTGTAATTGGTCAAAGTTGTAGAAATATTTATACCCATAAAGAGTAGAAACAGAAGAACAAAATACATAGAAACAACAATCAAATACTTATGATATTGAAGCAATATTAATCAACAAATAGTCATTACAATAACAAAATGATAATATTACAAACTATGCCACCTCAATGTGTTCTAGTGAAAGTATTATAAAAACATACTACAAGTTGTTTTTTAAAATTTGATTTCAATATTTACCTCTCGATTATCCTTAATTGTTGAATATAGAAGATATTAAATCACGATGTTTGCAGTCTTGATAACGTTACAATATATTTTATAAGGATTTGTTAAACATTTTTAGATCCATCTGGCTTGGCTGGCATAAATTCTACCAACATAAATAGAGACTTACCACTAGCTAGAATTAGGCGTTATTTGGTGTCGCTAGTTACGATAACTAGCTACGAAACGCGGGTACACGTTAACTAGTTAATAAAATACAAAAATAACTAGTTTTTAAGTCTAGAAGAAACTAATGAATTTTGTACGTTTTTCACAAGTCTGGACCTAATTGACCTTTTGTTTATGATACTGAACCCAGTACTAAATTACTGATAAAGTTAGTAGGGTAATTCGCCAAAGTCTTGTTGTTTTCATGTTCCGGGAAACGAACACTACTGTTTTGCTTAAAAATAGTGTCCGTACATTTTTTTTATTAATGTTAGCTTTATTTCACACGACTATCACCCACACTGTTTCTTCTGCATAACAATAACATGTTGCAAACTAGTAGCATCCATTGCTATACAGATGATAGCACGGGCAATGCCCTTTATACCGGTCGCCCCAATATTTCTCGTCATCGAGAATCGAAACAAACTTGTTTCTGAAATTGAAACTTCCATAGCGGAGGTTACAGATTAGTCCTGACTAAATCAAGTCCAGTTTAACCCAAAAAAGACACAGGTCTGTGCGTTCACCGTAAAGAAGATACCATCTGTCGTACCACCTCGGTTTGAGAGCACCTCTATAATTGCCTCAGCCAGCATCGAAATCCTGGGAGTCAACAAATCGAGCTAAGTCCAGTTTCGGGGTCACTTTGTCAAAGGGTAAGGTCAAATTGACCTCGAAGAAGCTCGGTGTGCTGGACAGACCGAGGCAGTATTTCACTCCGGCCCACTGCCTTCAGCTCTATAAGGCGCAAGTGTGGCCGCATACGGAATACTGTTCTCATTTTTATGCAGGGGCACCTCATTACCAGCTTCTCCCTCTGGACCGCATCCAATGAAGAGCGACTCCAATCGTCGATAGCCCAAACATCACCGATCGGCTCGATCCCTTGGCGTTACGTAGAGATGTTGCTTCACTCTGCATTCTCTATAGCATATATCATGGAGAGTGTTCCGATCAATTGTTCGGACTGATACTAGCCGCAACTTTCTGCCATCGTTCCGCAAAATTTTCATCCTCATCACCTGGATATTTGGCGCTCCACTACGCACACGCAGCAAGCACCCCAACTCACTGGGGACTTCACCGCAGCACTCACTGGGATAAGCGGACTTCAGTCCCCAGTCACTAGAACTAGATGCTCTCAGTTCTAACTCACTCGAACTACTCACTACTGGTACTGACACGCTCCACGACAGGATATAGACAGCTGACTCATCATATTCACCTTCGGTCTTGGAGGGGAGAGATTTGGCGAGTGCCAGATACCATGAAACAGTAACTTACTACAACGCCATCTAACGAAGATACACTGAACTAATGAGTAACTGCTAATCCTGTATCATATTTGCATATTTACAATTTCCCAACATCCACCAGTACAACCTCGCCTGGTTGGAGGATTCTCCCTTTGTGTTGGATCGTCACATCAGATCACACCCGTTCCTCCACAAGTCTATACGATGAAACTGAACATGATATTAATATGAAAATAAAATATAGAGAACTTTTTTTAATACTTAATTGTGACGTTCTTTCTAAGGAGAGGCCTATGTCCAGCAGTGGACTATTAAAGGCTATTGATGACGATGGATGATGATGAGGGAGACAAGGATGAAATCATTCTCTTCATCTCTCTATCTATATTTATAATATTTTCACTGTTCTATTACTTTCTGTATCATAACTCATTGTGGTATTATTTACGAATCATGACTAGAAACTTTAAAATTCCATATGAATGAATTAATTTCATATAATACTTGTGTTAGCACTAGTTCTAGTTGCTAGTACTGTAATTCTAGTGTTGTATTTCAATTTGTATAAATATAGATAGTGTTGTAAAGTGACTAATTATACAAAAAATGATATTTTTATTTGTCATACATTATGAAATATAAAATAACTAAAGATACTATATATTAATTCATTTACTCCAATGCCATATAACTAGTTAATAAACCAATTTCTTTCTTGAAACTATTTACGTTTCGTTTCGTTACATTCGTCACGTAACATTCTACACTTGCTGATCACAGACTACTAATATCTTGACTGACTGCTCTGAGATGCGTATAGATAGCAACCATAGAGATATAACTGTAGCAACGAATAATATTGAGTAAAAAGATTAATGAAACAATTGAGCATGAACATAAAATTTATGAAACATAAAAACCTTGCACGATACTATCACAGTAAATAAATAACATGAAAATGTGTATTATTTTTATGGATTGAAAAACAATGTTCATAATTTAGGCGATTTGGATTCTATGATGTTTGGAAACTAAAATTATTTCACTTCACTGGTCGACGGTCGTACTATTACGTCATCGGTCACTTCACCGAAATCGATTCAGTTTGATTTAGGGTTGAATTTATTTTAATTTCCGCGTTAATAACTTCATAAAAAACTCAAAATGAGTGCTTGGAGACAAGTCGGTCTTAAGTAAGTTGTTTTAAGATAATATTAATATTAGTACAAAACCGTAGATGTTACAGGTTATGTTTTTCTAGTTACATAAACTACTCCAACATCGCTGCTAAGATTCTGCGACGATCCTTGAAACCCGAACTACGCGCTGATGCCATGAAACGTGATGAATCCCATATACGCATCACACCCTGGGCCAACGGCAGACCCGCACGTAAGTTATCTTTTAATATTTCACAAATAACTTCTCCATACTTCGGCTCTTCTCTACATCTATGTGGCTACGAAAATGTATCTCCTATCAAATCTTATTATTAGGCATGGAATAATAATAATAATAATGGTTCTAGGCAACAGATATTATATTTGAAGACATGAAATTAACATGAAAGATTTGATAAATCAGGTTAAAAACTTATTAACGGTTTTCTAACATCAGGAATTCCATCGCGTATAATTTAAGTGTACCAGTTATAAATGATGTTTTATATCAAACTGTAAATTTTTCAGATGAGAAGGACTAATGGGTGAAATAAATTAGGTTGGTGACAAAGGAAAAACAAGTCTGCTTGTTTGTACCCTTAATTGGAGTGTTTTGTTGCGAATGATGTTAAATATAGATTTTAGATGAAATTAAGCTTTATTACTTAGTTTAATATGTTAGTGCAGTTACTGTGTACGTTTTTGAACTAATCCCGCAATACATGAATGATATGAATATTTAATACCAGTGTTGAATAACATTTTTGCAGTTTGTTTGTTTTGTCACTAAACACTTATACAGATGTTGTCCATGATGATGGACAGATGTATTAATGTGTTTGCAGTATAAGCTAATATGATTGTTCATTTACAGATTTAAAAGCTGCTGCACCCAAGTAAAGAAGGAATTATTCACCAACATGCATGATTATCAACAATCTGCTATTGTATAATATGTTAGTTTTTAACACAATTCAATAAATTATTGTTAAAAAAACTTGTTTGTCATTTACTTGTTTCTTATAACACCCCACCAAATTTTCTATGGGATTGCTTATTGTAAAAGAAGAACACATTAAACTTAGAGAATGCCAATGGCTTGATGTGCCTCATACTTAAAAATGAATGCACATTACCTTGTTTACAAGACATCATTAAAAGTATCTAAGAGTTTTGTGACAATTCCCCTTATATTTCAAAACAGATGATTCCTACAAATTACATATAAAACTAACTAAAATATTGTGCTTGGAAAGAATTATGTATATAACCATATTGAATAGCAATATTTTATCAAAGAAAAAAAAAAACAAATGGGAATATAAATAAAAGTAGGTGATACATTTTTCACACACTATTTAATCTTATTCTTTTAATTTTTATATGAGCCTTTTTAACTTCATCTATTAAGCATTTACCTAGAGGAGCTGTCGGATCTATTTCTTTTAATGATATGTCTGTCTTAGGTGCATAGTGATTTTGTAATTTTTCTAAGCCATTCCAGGCAATCATGACTCCATTGTCAGTACACAATCTTGGTGGTGGTCTAAATGCTTTGTATCCTGTGTTTTCTGCTAACAATTCAATTGATTTAAATATAAAATCATTACAAGCCACACCACCTGAAACAATTAGGTTTCGGTTTTCAGGTGGGACCAAGCTATGTTTATCACAAAACAAGATTGCTCTGTGTGTTCTATGGACCAAATGTTCAGCCACAGCTAGTTGAAAGGCAGCACACAAATCATAAACTTCAGGTATTAACTTACAACCTGCTATTTGATGTTCTGTTTCCTTTTTTATCAATTTTCTTACTAAGGAATCCTTAAGGCCACTGAAACTAAAATTACAATCTCTATATTTTAATAAAGGCAAAGGGAATTCAAAAACTTCCGGATTAGTCGCCTGTAATGCTGCTAACTCCACAGCCTTACCACCACATATTTTAGAGTATTCAGACATATTTTTTAGTTTCATTCTTCTGGCAACTTTATCAAAAACTTCACCTGGTGCATTATCTAAACCTTTGCCTAATAAATAAAAATCTTCAACATCTTTTACCAGAGTTAATAAGCAATGCCCCCCAGATATTAGAAGAACAAGAAAAGGAAAAGTCAGTTTCTGATGCATTCGGGCAATTAAAGCATGAGCCTCCATGTGATGTATAGGTATTAAAGGTTTGTTATTTAATTTTGCTAGATGTTTTGCATATTTTACTCCAACTTGAAGACTTCCTAGGAGACCCGGTTTTGTTGTAACCGCTATAGCATCTACATCTTTAACTGTTTTACTGGCCTTATGCAATGTTTCTGTTACAACCTCTTCTATATTATCACGATGTAACTCATGCGCCATAAAAGGGTTAACTCCACCCAATTTCGTATGTATTGCATTTTGAGAATAAAGGGACTCGCTTAGTATTTTACCAGTGCCATCAATTATGGCACAACCTGTATCATCGCAAGAGGTTTCAATACCTAATATTAAAGGTTTTGCTGAATTAAATAATGTTCTATTATTAAAAGTCCTATTAATACGTATTTTATGTACTCTACATATACATTTGCACAGTAGCGACATTTCTATCGCCAAATAGAAAAGAATCAGACAGAAACCTAGGATACGAACAGAGTGACCACTAAAAAATATTACTAATCTACTAAATTCTGCAATCCGAGACTAGAAAACTGTCCATATTGAGGACTGCCGCTATTTGAGGGTCCCAAAATATTAACTTCCTAAAGAAATTCCCTTTTTTTTTTATTTTTCCTTTCTTATTACAGGCCTATGTCCAGCAGTAGACTAGTAGAGGCTGTTGATGATGAAACAAATGATATTCCATTGGCAGTCTTTTGTTCATGCTTAGCTCAATTAGAAATAATTGCGACCTTCTTAAAAACTCAAATTTTTTTGTGTCTGATCCCTACCCATATTTACAATTAATTTTGCTACTTTAACAGCCAAATACATTTGATTAACATCAATAAAATTTATTTCAATGCTAGGATCAATATTTGTCGCTGTTATGTATCCATTTTTCATATAACTACTCAGTAAGGCCTTTCACATATCCCTATATAACGATTGGAAAATTGTGTTAAATTTAGTAATAATTGGTAACACATATTCCAAAAACAAAAAATATAATATTTATACATTTATCATCAAAATTAACTTTAAAAAAGTCAGCATTAAGATTGCGATTTAATCAATATTGTTTATTAAAATACAATTTCAAAGCGTCCCATTGTTCAATTATTTCATTTACACTGGCATGTAAAGAAATAACAAATCTGATCTAAATAAGAAATAACAAACTGATCTGGTAATGTCGCAATAATTGGTGATTCTCGGAGTCAACAAAATTTTGTGCTGTGCTGCAAAATGCTGTGACTAAAATAGTCATGAACATCTTTAACAATCCGGTCAATATTTCGAGGCAGTTCTTTACATGCATAGCTTACAGATAGGGCAAGAGAGTGACATACTCACTTTACAAAAATGCAATGAAAATTAATAGACTGTGTTTTTGACACATCGCTCACACAACAATTTTTTTTGTAGTCTCATCAATTATTAGAGAAAATATGTTTTTCCCTGAAGGCGACTTACATGAAACAACATCTTCGAATAGTTTTTTTTTCTAATTTTGGTGCTATATATGTATATAAGATGAACTTGATGATGATGATGCTTTTATTCGGTTGCATGTGAATGCCTTTGCTATCTCTGAGTCGGGAAATGCTCATCTGATAAAGGATGCTTCTTAAAATAGGTATCCATCTGGAACAAATTAAAATTCATAATAAATGAAGATCTGGATATCTAGAATACATACAATAGAAATAACTATATTTTAAACTAAAAAATAAAAAACAAAAATAAATTAAAAAAACAAATAAATGACACCTATCAACTAGCCTAAATTAAGCAGCTTATGCCGTTTATGTTATGGATACTAGATGACGGATAAATATCCGTAACAGATATATTTATACAAATATTCATAATATACTCAATACGTATATAAACGTCAAAGACTGAAGAACAAATTCTTATTTTATCATCCAAACATTTGTCCCCACCGGGAATTGAACCCAGAACCTCACGTCGAGGCCACACGTCGAGATGGTTTTAAAATTTTGTGTTTAGAAAACTAAACCATGGTGGCCTAGCATAGTATACCTCATTGGCAGTTTTCTAGAAAAATAATGCAAAACTTGAATAAAAGAGGTTTAAAACTTGGAACTTTTTGATTGTTATTGTCGTTTCACTGAATTAAAACTTTTGAAAAATATTAGATAAAATTTAAATGTCTGATTAATATAAATTAAAATGTTTTCAAGCATTATTCTTAATCTCTTTACAGAGACACGAAGAAAATTATAGGTTTTGTTCCCATTCAGCGCGATAGTTTTGTTCAAATTTACGTTTCATTGTAATTAAAAGTTCATATTGCATGCGATTGCCACGGGATCTAAACGAATTCTGTAAGAGAATGACATATTAACATAAGGCAATATAAAAGGTAATTTCCCTTTAAACTGGTTTAAACGATACTCTGAATCGTAATTAAAATAATTATTAAAATAGACTCCATTGTAGAAACATTAGAGTGCAAAATTCCGTGTCAGTCGGCCTAAAAGTATACAGTTGGGGGAAGCCCCTACTACATACAGTACTAATATAAACGCTGCCATTGCTGCCAACATAATTTATACTCTTGGACACAAGTCCTTTCATCCGGGACCATTATTGCTTGACATTTACTGAAATCTATTAGATGTTTAGAAACTACTGCATATCTACTGCATGGTCAAATTATCCTTGGAAATCTACTCTTGCAGTAGAAAATCTACCGTAAACGGTCACACTGGATTGGAATGTCAGTTTGATATTATAAATGACAGAGAACCTTTTTGATGTCTTAGCTGTCAGATTACAGTGATGCTACAGTTTCAGTGCTGCCAACAATTAAGTTTTTTTTTTTGTATATGCAAACTGTGCCATCATCGACAAAACTCTCCACCAGGCTCAACATCTTAAACCACACTGCCTACTAGAGTTGTGTAGCTCCTGAGTGAGTGATATAAAAGATATATCATTCACGACGATAAAATGTATCACTCACTCACACTAGCTCCGAATATATCAGTAACTCACTACTAGCTCACTAGATCACTAGCTCAACGACGCCGATCTTTGTTTCATGAGCGAGTGAGACTAAAGATAAATGAGTGAGATAGATGATGGTTGAGTTCACGCAGGTTTCTTTATGCAAAATGTACATTATTTCTCTAGGATCAAAGTTTAATATTACTTAAGAATTAAGCCAAGTACAAGGAAAATCAAATTATGTATGATTTCTATTATACAACCTAAAAAAAGTACAAGAAATAATTTCTTATTTTTAATTATTATGTAAAAGGAGGTTAATAATTATGTAATCTTATCAAAATGAATAAAATTGTATTTAAAAAAAATTGGTTAAAAATGTAGTTTCAAAAACTGAATTTAGGTTAATATGAAAATAAAGAAAGGTTTGTATGGCGAAAGAGGCTTAAAGTGAGTGATATACGAGTATACTGAGCTAAACGATCTAGATGAAGAAATGAATTAATTGAGAGACAAATCAATTGAATCGGATCAATGAGCGAGTGAGCTAAACGAGTTAGTGAGCTAAATGAGCTAGTGAGCTAGATGAGTGATATTTATCTTTTGAGCGAAATGATATATATCAATCTTTTCAGCTCAGTGATACATTTTGCGCATCACTACTGCCTACCTAGGCGATGAAAGTGCCTGAATCTCATTATTCCACAGCCTATAAACTAAAGCGCTATGCAATATAAAATGTTGTATAATTAAAAGCCTTCCTTTTTAAAGTAGCTTGCAACGAGTCCTATTGCCTCAGAGAGAATGGGTTGACAGCCAAGAAAGTATTGGTCAAGTTATTCAAAAGGATTTATGACACAAATTCTTAAAGAATGGCTTATAGAGTACTTCAAATACCTAGTAGAATTAAAAGCAGTAAAACATTTTATAAAGTTTGTTTTTTTAAATTCAGGACAAAAAGTAGATTATTTTCTTCTCCAGTGTATTTTATATCTTTATACCTGCAAACGAACGAGAAAGAGTTTTTTTCTCCTTTCGAATTATATTAGACACATAATATTTGTTTTCAGATTGAAAATAATAGTGTTGTTAGATCTAGTATCAAAATACCAAGTTAATAAAATAAAAAACGTACGGTCATATTATATTTTGTTTTCATGTTTTGTGGCAGCATCTATGACCAATTCTGTTTTTGATCCATTTTCATTGAACTGCCATTTGACCTTAAAATGTCCAAAAAGATATTTAAATCAGTTCAGTGCATAGATAAAACACTATTGGTTCAGTGGCAGTGACCACTGACTATAGACAACTGTCATTATCAAAATTTCTGAAATTCGACAAGTAATAAATATAGTGGTGTGCCGAAGAGTAGGCTATTTTGGTCAGTTGTTATTAAGCAAATTGTATGGTGCGCAGCTCCAGAGAACTTATATTATTAAGAAATTGATATGGTAAATATACTTTTATACAAATGGCGCCATTGAAAAATAAATATAAATCGCGAACTGCAAATTATCTGGTAATATCCATCATTTACCGCATAATTACATAGATAGTCAGTTTGAAACTAATGACCAATATATAACTTTTATAAACGATATTTTGGACGCGAAAGAATTAATTATTTTTTTCTTGCTAGTTTGCCATGTGCTGATATAATCCCGCTATATTTCAATACAGTACATTAGCAAGGACTCCCGTAGTCCCGTTAGTTTTCACATTACAAAAAATATACCACCTAAAATCTATATGTTATTGCATTCGTACTTGAATTTTGCAATTTGAATTAATGTACGTAAGCTTTCCATAGATAAATGTTTAATTTTAAGATGTTACTAAATTGCAGAAAACTTGCTTGGATAGAAATGTGATATACGGATAAATTTGTTGCAATTGATCAATTGATAATTTTTGATGGATTATGATCATTTATCTGTATTTTTTAGATTTCGTGACTACAAGGTGCAAGTAACAAGTCCAAAATGATCAACTTAAATATATTGAAGCAATCTACCATTGTACATTTATGTTTTGCTATTTCATACTTCACATCTGGTTTGATTCTGACTTTTATACAGGCTATTCTATACTTTGGACTCAAACCGTTCCATAAATCTTTATACAGAAAGATAAATTATTATCTTTCATATTCATTTTACAGTCGTAAGTATAATACTTATATTATATTAATACTACTGAGATAACATTGTTGAACATGATATGTCAAAGTTACACATTTAAATAGGTAAAATAGATATACGAGGGGTGATCAATAAGTAATGATAATCAATATGAAACAGAACTATTAGATTAAAAAAAGTATTTTATTTTTCAACATAGTCTCCTTGCAAGTTAATACATTTAGTGTATCTTTTTTCTAAGCCCATGATTCAATTAGAAAAAAATTCTTTGTCTTGACCCTCCCAAAATGCCTCTAGTGCGGCCATCACTTCACTATTGTCCTCAAATTTGTTGCCCCGGAGGTGTTCTTTGAGCCGAGGAAAGAGGTAGAAGTCACTGGGAGCTAGATCTGGCGAATAGGGAGGGTGTTCGAGCAGTTCGAACCCCGTTTCTTCAATGGCAGCCATCGCAACTGCGGCTTTGTGAGCCGGGGCGTTGTCTTGGTGAAACAGCACTCCAGCGCGCAGTTTACCGCGTCTTTTTGACTTAATAGCTTCTCGCAATCTTCTTATTTGGCCTGCGTAGTAAGAGCCTGTTATAGTGGCCCCCTTTTCCAAATATTCCACCATAATAATTCCTTTTGCATCCCAGAAAACAGACGCCATAACCTTTCCCGCTGAACTTGACACTTTGAATTTCTTCGGCGTTGGTGAGGAAGCTCGTTTCGAAGTCATTGATTGTTGTTTGGTTTCGGGATCAAAGTGGTGGATCCAGGTCTCGTCCATGGTCACAAAACGCGACAAAAAAATTCTTTATCGGCCTGGAACTTTTGAAGATTCACCCTCGAAATGTCGACTCGTTTCTTTTTTTGCTCGTCGGTTAACATTCTCGGTACCCAACGCGCAGAGACCTTTTTCATATGCATTTTGTTGACAATGATTTTTTGAACGCTGCCATAGGAGATCCCTGTGACCTCAGCTATATGCCTTACGGTCACCCTTCGATCGGCCAACACGATATCTTCCACTTTTATGACGTTTTCTCCAGTAAGGGACGTGGAAGGGCGTCCCTCGCGATGTTCATCTTCAGTGGAGGTTCTGCCCAGCTTAAATTCCTTTGCCCAGCGTGCGACTGTGGAATATGGAGGAGCAGACTCCCCCAATGTTTCCTCTAAGTCGCTGTGTATGTCTTTGGTAGACATTTTTTTCAGGCAGAGGTACTTGATGACAGCTCTTATTTCATTTTTCTCCATTTTGATGTTTTCTCTTCGACAGTTCGTATTCAAATGAATGTGTCTCCCGGTAATGGTGTCCTATTTATACATTTTTTTGAAGCTGAAGTAGTGGATATATAAGCAAGCAGAAAAAAAATAATTTGGGTTTTTGTGCGTTCTAGAAATACTCGATTATCATTACTTATTGATCACCCCTCGTATAGCAGAATAATGTAATTATCACAAATTTATGTTTTCAGAATTAGTGTTTATGTCAGAATGGTGGTCTAATACAACTCTATCTTTATATATTAAGAAAGATGAATATAAAAAGTATTATGGTAAAGAGCATGGATACCTTCTAATGAACCATAGCTATGAAATAGATTGGTTAATGGGATGGCATTTCTGTAATAGTATTGGAGTATTAGGGGTAAGTACTACAATATTTTATTCCATTATACATTTTTGCTGGCAATGGTAAATATAGTTTTTGACTTCGTCACTAAATGCATAAGAAAAAGGTTTAAAATTCATAAATACTACCTACTCACAATAGAGAACCTTAATAAAAGTCAAAGAATAATTTAGTAACCTTATTGTAGTGACCGATAAACTTCGTCTTTCCACCATTATTAACTCACAATAACTAAATGAGGCAGAGCACCATGCACTCAGACATCAATAAATGACAATATAATATCAGTTGACATTTTTTTTATATGCTTGAAGGAAATTTGCCTACTTTGGGATCAGATTACCATGTATGATATTATTATTATCCATGTTTCATATTTGCATAGTTTTTTCTTTTTCACATCAGTAGATGTTTATCTATAATGAAGGAATTTTGTACATTTCTTCTTCACATATAATCTAGTTCTTTTTTCTCTTGTGAGACTTTTGGTCCTGCTTAGTCAGTTCCCTATAATGTTGTCATACTGGTTAGTTGGGATAAAGAGTTTTGGTTGAGTATTTTAGAATGTTTCTTAAGGACTCATAGTTAGTTTAGCTAATGTTTAATTGGTTACCCTTCAAGTAGAGTTAGGGGGTAGTATTTGAGAATCGAGTATTGTAGCGATGTTGTAAATTAAAGTGGACTGTATTTAAACTAATTTATTATTACACTGTACATGAATTATTAAAAATATTATCGCTTCGGTCTCGGAATAACGCGTGTGTCGTCAAGTGAAACCCTCAATTGTCGCAATTGTCGGTCCCGGCGCGCTCCGCCGCGCCCGCTGCTCCCTCGATGGGTTGCCCACGTGCCTCACGCGTGAACAGGTAGCATTTAATCAAGATAAATTAATTTGCTTTCAGTACTCCTGTCTATTGGAGAAATCAATTATCAGTAAAACATTAACTGAGATTATGTTGTTACACAGTGTGCTGTGATATTTTATGTAAAGTGTTATTTAATTATTCTATATTTAATTTGTGACATTTCTTCCCTATTGTACTTTTTATTGTGTAATATTTTGTGACACTTCACAATTAGCAATTTTGATTTATGATTTATTGTATTTAAAACCTTTTCTAAGGTAAAATTAGAAAGTGTTACTATTGTCAGACCTCATCACCTTTGTATAATCATCACAAAAACCTACCTTCGTTGCATATCATTATGCGAACTCGCTTTAAAGTCGGGCGACAAAAACTAACTATAATATCGTAGGAAAAATAGGTTTTTTAGGTAATATTGTGCTTATTTATCACTAAAAAATTTCTAACGGCAGCTCGAAAAGAGTTTATCCTAATATTGTACTCGACGTCGTATTTACTGATGGTCTACCAACAACGGTCTGTCTATCTACAAGTTTTATTTTTAAAAAAATGCTTAATGTATACTGTTTTTATATTAAGGTTAAAGACTTTTCAACATAACGCTACAAACCATATTCGTTAAGACTGTGAAGTATGCAGAAATGTCAACTTGTGTGATAAATTATTCACTCGCAACCGCAACGTCATATCCTTACGGTGAACAAGTAATAATTAAAAATAATCAAAAACACAATTTAAAAGTAATGTACTAAAAATACCGACACAATTTACAAACATGGCCATTTTTACGCTATACGCTATCAAACAACTTTTTAAACCAATTTATTATTCCTTATTAAATTTAATGATATAACTTATATCTATTTATTATTTGTAATCTCCTCCTTAATTTTCTTGATATTGATACCCCTTTTAACAGATTTGGTTATTTATTTTTTTCAAAATGCCATCTAAGGACACTTGGCTTTTTGAGACCGATAAAACAATACCTGAACTGTCGAAATCCATGCAGCCATTTTGAAGATACGAGGTAGGTAATAAAGAAAATTGCAAACAAACATACAAGATACGCGCAAAAACATAACCTTCCTTGGCAGTCGGGTAAAAATAGCTTGTCATATTCGATACTAGATACACACAGTTTCCTCCTCGTTCATTTGCTCCTTTAGTATTTTACCGTGCTGGTTTTATGGCACACAGGCTATAAACTTTCTTCATTAAACTGAATCTAATGCAAAGAACATTGCAAAGCGGACCAATTAAAACTTTTATATTAGCGTATCTAAAAATATAAACAAATTACGAACAGATATTTCGTTACATCATAGTGGACTTCGTACAAACTGACTACGTACATAAACAAAGTAAATACGTTTTATAGGCTATGTGACTATTACATTGCTCAAGGTTCAACGTTTGTCAAGGACCTGTAAACAAAGGAATTCAATGCTCACGTTCATGTTAATAAATTCCTCTTAATATGAATTGCAAAATCATTCATTTTTATATTTTTTATGTCAAAACGAGTCATCATCAGTTATAACTGTTATAAGATACCTATGTGTAAATAACTGTTATAAATAAAGCTACTATTATTTAATATATTCTGTATGTATCGTCTAAGTAGCCTGCGCGGTTATAAAACTAATACTTGTGCTGAGGTCTTGCTTCTCTCCAACTGTCGAAATTCTATATTTAGAGAGCAACTTACTACTCCCACGCCTAAAAATGTCTAGATCTAGACAAATGGGCACACGCACATACAATGCAGTAAACCTTTCTCGAGGAAAATAAAAAAAATAAAAAGGAATTCGCTGCGTGATCTATTTTTTTGAGATTGTAATTTTACTCATTCTGCTCATAAACCTTTACATATCCTCTGACTACGATATTTTGCGGTTCACTAAAAGTACCCTAGTAAAAACCCTACGCTACTACAATTTCACCGGTATTTTAATGAATTGTACTTAAAATTAAAAGAAAACCTCTAAAGGCAGAAATTCACAAACTGTTTTGGTCAAAAGACTCCTTTTCTAAATTAACCTATATATACATCAGACTCCAGTAGCCAAATTACTACGCGCTTATCGACTTGATGAGTTTCTTGGCAGTACAACAATGATGTTTCCTGCTAAAATATTGGTACACGTAACACAACTAATACAATATCTTGAAATTTTCAAATTACAACTTATTGCTACTAAATAGGGTTAGATTTATAGACCTCGTCGACCCCAAAATCAACTTTTGTTTATGTCGACCAATAGGAAACCGATTTCGACCCCAAGGTCGATATTAACCACTTTGGGACTCCTGGCTCTAAAGGATGTGTCGTAGGACTGTAAGTCACGTACATAAAGCGATAAAATAATCAAAGAAAAATGCACGGTGTATAATATCGTATCGTACGTTTTGTTCGTCAGGGTCAAGTGTGATTCTTTTTAGTTTGTTGTTTAAGTTTGGTAATAATTACGGACATGATTTATGGTAATCGTCGTCATTAGTTTTCCTTCCGCGTCTTACTTTTTATTAATACTTATAATATTTAAAAAATAGGTACTAAGCTTTACTTGAACATTTACACGTAATTGATTAGTTTAAAACACTCATTAAAGTAATGATCATAAGTTCTTATAATCAGTATGAGTAGCGGGAGTGGTATAAAAATTAGCGTATTATGACAAATACCCGGTTGTGAAAATTTTGTGATAAAAATAAAATAAGATAAGATAAATATTTTAATAACGATTTGTAGATACTATTAATTTACTACATGCTATTGCATTGTGCATGAAAAGGACAAATAATATAGAAAGTTGTCATAATTTGCGTTACCACCGCTGAAAGGTCAAGTGAACATTCACGAGAAATCTTGATTAAGAATGAGTAAAAAAGCACGGGCAGTGTAAATCTAAAATTAGAGTTGGTGTTTATAAAACAAATGGATTCATTCAAAACTTAATTAGTACGAGTAAAGGTCGATCATCGGTCGATCATTTTAAAATAGGCCTAAAAATAAGTCTACGCTGTTATTGATACATTTTTAAACTAAAAATGTTACTACAACACAACTCAAGAGTTACAAGTGCGTTGTCGGTAGATATGGAAATTATTACTACTTTTAAATCATATTCATTTGAAGAAATAGCATAATAATAATTATGTAGCAGTTGTTTTGTAAATCAGACGCAGGTGTGATGAAATGATTTATAAATCAAATGTGATTGTGATATTATTCCATCCCTACTTGTCGGCCCTCGAATATGGACCTCCTCTAACCTCACTTACTGGGTGTATGTAATGCAATAAAACAATTGCTTAACACCGATTCAAAATCGGACGAGCGCATAGGTTGAGCCGACCTATCCTCAAACTCTAAATAAAAAGAAATATGAGAATGAGCTAAAATTTTATAAAAATTAACTCCCAACTTAAGTTACCGCTACTTTATATTTAGTTAAATACCCCTTTCTTCTTTGTGTCTTTTACCACATAAGTACTTACATCTAAATAATATTATTTTTAAGAAATTAGAACATCATCATGATGAATCTAGTGTAACATGATAGGTACCAGCCGATTAAATGCCTGCTTTAGTAGTGTAGTACGGTACGCCACTGCAATCCATGAGACTACGAGTTGAATTCCCCGAGCGGGCAACATTTTATAGGGTTTTTCGGAGAGGAAAAAAGCCTAAGTTACTCCTTATAAAACTACCTGGTAGTAAAATGTTATCAAAATCGATCCAGCCGTTTGGAAGATAACCTGGAACAGACAGAAAAAAATATTTATACTGGTTTTTAGGCATAGGCATGGTGCAAATAATCGTGGGAGCATGATAAAACCTATGGCTTTGACATTACAGATAGACACTTTAACTTTATTATTTGTATAGATTAAACGACCACCCAGTTCCTATCCCAAACAAGTCGTACTGTCTTATGTTACAAAATTCATTGTATCTCTTTCAGAATTGTAAAGCATATGCGAAAAAATCTATACAATATTTACCACCGATTGGCTGGATGTGGAAATTTTCCGAATTTGTTTTTCTAGAAAGATCTTTTGAGAAAGATAAAGAAATAATAAAAAATCAAATAGCAGAGATTTGTGATTATCCGGATCCTGTATGGGTAAGTAATGTTCCAATCTATATCACACAACCTATATAATATACATATACTTATTCATACTTTGGATAAAAACATACGTACTGCAAATACCCAGTATGATATAACAATCTTGAACCAATTATTTTGTAATAAATAATGCAACTTAAGTGTATTATTTGAATACTTCAGTCTGTTAACATTCTCATAAAAGCTTTGTAATAGAATGTTGTGTACCTATAGTTATAATTGGACTTCAGATTTAAGTATTGTATATTGTCAACACAATTGTTTATGTTCTGGTCTGTGGTCTATTACTGTACCTATTCAATAAAATAAAATCATTTTATATACCTATTAAAATCAGTGATAATAATTTGTCCTACAAATTATAGATATGAAGATACAATATTTAATAACCCAAATTATCTATATCAATTGTTGCGATGTGATTAAGATAAAAATCTAAATGAGAATTCATAATAAAACAATATAGAAAATTTGGTCAGTTAAATGATATTTGATTATTATTTCAGCTATTAATGACCCCAGAAGGAACACGCTATACAAAGACAAAGCACGAAGCGTCTCTGAAATTTGCGAAAGAGAAGAATTTGCCGCTTCTTAAACATCACTTAACTCCTCGCACCCGAGGGTTCACAACAAGTTTACAGTTCTTTAGAGGGAAAATACCCGCAATTTATAACATACAACTTGCGTTCGAGAAAGATAGTAAGGTAAGATTATTATAAAAATTGTTGTTTTAAATATTGTTTTAGCCTCACCTATTTTATGGACTGGCCTGTCATTAAAGGAGTTCAACTTAATCTTAATGGACTAGACGAGATTTTTAGGAATTGCCGAAAGCCACCCGACAGTTCGTATAATTATAAAATTTCATTTCACATACATTTAATTTACATACTTAGCTTATTATTATATCTTGTCTAACGATATTGGCACTAATATTATGTTAATATTTTCGTAATTAAATTATTTTGCTTTAATGAAAGATATGTAACTACGTATGTGCTTAAAAAGTGAAATATCAGATTATAGATTATATCGAAAACTATCTTCACTGTGTTTTGCCTGAATTAAAGTAAGATTAGCATTAAAATACATACTTGTTTCTTGTGAACGTTCCACTCAATGCACACTCAGAACTACAAATACATATCTCAACATGTTGTTCCTCTCTGTTTGTTCCGTATCCTTACACATTCTATGACAACAAAACCAGATATGAAACCTGTAATGTCGTTATGTCATTACTAGAACCGGTCCTTGGGTCTATCAAAGAAAACCTGATTCTATGCTAATAATATAATAATAATATTTATTTTCAGTAACATTAAAACATTAATTTTGTTGCTGAGGCCTCCTTTTAAGTATGATATACATGCTTGTGCCAGGAGACTCCCGCTTCCCGTTTGCAATTTTATTTATAAATTATATAACTTAAGACGTCCGTGTGGTGACGGATTAAGAATACAGTGTATTCATCCCGTGGGTGTCGTAAGAGGCGACCAAGGGAGCAAACTACGCAGGACAACAGCACTGCAAAGAGAAGGAAAACTTGACACAAACCCTATACCAACCCGTCTGGCGTGGTATAGTAGGCCAAAACCTCTTTACTAAGGAGAGGCCTCTGTCCAGCAGTGGACTATTAAAGGCTGTTGATGTGATGATGATGATGTGACTTAGGTAACAACTTAGGTAACATTATTATATATTGTTACATGTCTCTCAATGTGTGTACGCATGCATGTGTACGAGTGTTTGTGTGTTGTCCGCAAGCGTGTGTGAGTATGTGTGTATGAGGGTGTGAGTGTACGTGTGTATAGTAGCTCCAGCCCTGCGTAATGTTGTATTAATTTCGAATCGTCAACAAACCGGGGTTCGAATTGTGCTTGTGTTGTGTTGTGAACTACCACCTCTCCGTTTATGATATTTTTTACCTCGGAAATTAGTCATTTATGAACCGAAATCCGCCAAATTTAATGAAAAAATAGTACTATTAACTAAATTTAAACTAAAAACTAAACTAAGAAGTAAAGAATGCGGTTTAATATAAATTATCATGATGAGGTTAGTGTTACTTTTTAAAAGTTAATTACTTTAACATCATAAATCTAAAATATACACAAGAATACGCTACTTTGTTATGTTATTAATAGTACTTTCGAATTCTTAAGTAGGAAATAACATCCGATATTAACCTTGCGTCACTCCGGACGACCAATGAGAACAAAAGAAAATCATAATTCGTCCGTTTTAAACGTCAACCTTGTACCATGTACCCTGTTGCCAGTTACATAATTGCAGCCGCGATTGGTCGTTAATTGAGTATCTGTCATTGCGACACATCACATATCTAATCTTAATATATTTATCTTTGCAGTATGCAATGTGTTATAGAAAAGATTGTACGATTTTAGGATTGTTGTTGTATATAAAAAAAAAGATAACATGCAAATTAGCCTTTTTTTAAACGTTCTTTCCATTTCTAAACAAAAAATTATTAACTAGCGAGCATGACACATGTTGTTGCATCAAATTTCTATAAATTTTATGTTAAAAACCAACTTTACGTTCCCCGGTTTTTGCACTAGAAAGCTAATCGCACTACAAACCTAAAAAGTTAATTTTTAGAAAAAAAACAAAAACCGACTTCAAAACTATACCTATATGTACAAATTTAAACTGAAAAGTAGAAAATAATATTAAATAATAATAATGATATTAATTTTTTATTTTAATTACTTTAAACATTCAACGAAAAGGTTTCCTAAGTTATTTTTGAAGTCGGTGCCGCCCAAAAACAGTTTAATTGTTGCAAAGGCAGCAACAAATGGAATGTACGGCGGCGCGACGCGGCTGCGCGCGTGTTGCAGCCGGACAGGACGGGACGCGGGGGGATGTGCCTAAGTGAGCGACCCGAACGCGGGCAGACGCGTGAGGGCAGACGTCGTTGACGGTTGTGTCTCTATGCATAAAAATTTTGATGCGCTTCTTTGCAATTTATAAGTAAGCTTACGTGCGATTTTCTTTTCTCTAGTAAAAGTTAAGGTAATTTATATAATAAATAGTGTAATTAATTATTAGGTTATTTTTTTATTAACGATATTTTTGTTTTGGTTGGCACCGACTTCAAAAATAACTTAGGAAACCTTTTCGTTGAATGTTTAAAGTAATTAAAATAAAAAATTAATATCATTATTATTATTTAATATTATTTTCTACTTTTCAGTTTAAATTTGTACATATAGGTATAGTTTTGAAGTCGGTTTTTGTTTTTTTTCTAAAAATTAACTTTATTTTTAATTTTTAAGTGAAAAGTTAGTGTATTTTGTTTGTATATAATATGGGTAGGCCTACTAAACGCGCTTCTCAAATGAAAAAGCGTCGTTTGGAAGAAAGTAGGGACGAGAGGGAAGATCGTCTAAAGAAGAGTAGGAAAAGATTTGCAATAAAAATTGCAAATGAGAGTGATGAGCAGCGGGCGTATAGACTTTCTCAGATGAGGGCATACTCAAACTTATCAAGGCTTAATGAAAGTCCAAAAAGTCATGCTCAACGACTCAGTTTGATTCACGAGCGTTTATCAAACGAAAGCAAAGAGCAACGTTCTCATCGTCTTCGGTTGATTCACGAGCGTTTATCAAACGAAAGCGAAGAGCAACGTTCTCATCGTCTTGAGTTGATTCACGAGCGTTTATCAAACGAAAGCGAAGAGCAACGTTCTCATCGTCTTGGGCTGATTCACGAGCGTTTATCAAATGAAAGCGAAGAGCAACGTTCTCATCGTCTTGGGCTGATTCACGAGCGTTTATCAAACGAAAGCGAAGAGCAACGTTCTCATCGTCTTGGGCTGATTCACGAGCGTTTATCAAACGAAAGCGAAGAGCAACGTTCTCATCGTCTTGGGCTGATTCACGAGCGTTTATCAAACGAAAGCGAAGAGCAACGTTCTCATCGCCTTGGTTTGATTCACGAGCGTTTGTCAAATGAATCTATCGAATCCAGATCGACTCGATTAGATGCTATGCGACAAGCTAGTCGCAACCGCAGGAATGATTTCGAACAGTCTATTAACATTTTTGCAGACGTTCAGTGTGCCGTTTGTAATAAAGCGTTATATCCACCACAACGTTTTAATTTACGTACTGCAATTTACAGTGCATTATTACCCAAAGAATTGGTTTCTCTGGGCAATATCATAACATGCTCTCGCTGTCAAAATAATATTAGGAAACGAAAAATTCCACCAGCAGCTTTCTGGAACAAAATGACAGTCGCGACTGTTCCTCAAGAGCTAGCTAATTTGACGAAACTTGAAGAACGGTTTTTATGCCGTGTTGTACCGTTTCTTAAAATAATGAAATTACAAAATCGTTTCTGTCAAGATTGGTGTAAGGGACAAGTAACTTTGTTTGCAAAAGACGTTGTTGAAGTCGCTGAACAACTGCCACTTGCGCCAAACCAAGTAGGATTAGTTCTTGTTGTGGAAAGTCTCGAGAACTTGCAACGCTCCCAAGAGTTTGTTGTGGATATGAACAGATTGTATCAAGCTCTAACCTGGTTAATGTCAAACAATATACTCTACAGAGATGTAAGACCCCATTTTGAGAATGTTATCGACATTTCTGAACTTGTTCAAATTTCTGAAGAGCCTGCAGATGGTGGTGAGCTTATGGAGTTAGAATCTACTCCTCAAAGCAACTACGTCGATATAAATGAAAACGTTTCTATACTACACGGATCATTTCATCAAGCTGATTTAAGATTTGATTTACAATCTCGTGGCAAACAATGCACTGCTGTAGCAGCTGTAGCTTGTGCAGCGTTCTGTACAGATGAGCCAAGTCAATGGTCAAAAAGTGACATTGATTATATAGTAATACTCGGAGATAAGCTCTACCGTGAGTCCATTGCTTCTAGAGAGAACCCCGCAATTGGAGAAATTAATCCTGAATATCTTGCTGCGAGTGATCTTGCACAGCAAATATTATATAACAGGAAGAAAATATCTCTGTTACTGATACCAATTATAATGGTCATATAGATACAGATCGAAGTACTGACGGCTTCCCTAACCTAAAAAATGCTCTGACATTATTTTTAAGAGAAAACTGTTGCGGGCTGCTTACTGCGAATTCCATGACTGTGGCTATATATTGTAAAACTGAAACTGATGCTTATAAATATTGGTTGTTCGATTCACATGCACGTGGGCCTAAGGGAGGTAAAGCTCCAAAACGTGGTGCAGCCTGTTGCATGAAATTCCAAAATATAGATGAATTACATGATATAATGCGACGAAATTTGTTTACTCCGACGAAGAAAGTACCGGCACAAGATTACTTTCTCAATGTGTACTCACTAACTCCTTTGATTATAACACCGGAGAACCAGGCAGAAGAGCGCAGAGAAACGTTGGGGAATCAACATTTCAACAATACTCAGGAGCAGTCAAGAGTAGTTCAGTCAGAGAGCCCTACATATACAATACTTACATCAGAAAAAGACAGTCCTCAAATATTTCAAGCAAACTCAGTCCTGGAACAAGAAAGACTGCACAGAGACACTTTGAGAACATCAGAGAGTCCTACATATACAATTCCTGTACTAGAAAATAACAACACTCCTCAACAAACATCTCGACCAACCTCAGCTTCAGTACAAGAAAAAACACTATCATACATACAACCAATTGCCACTATAATTGAAACAA